TATGTCCTACGTTGTGCGTAATAAGATGTACCCATTACTCGTACCTCTACTACTAAGTATCTAGTTCAACAACTGTGATGTTAGTTATCGCAGAAAAGGATAGCAAGCTGAAATGTTCATCAACACTTATTTCGCCCGCATTCAAGCAATAAAGCGTGTATTCACTAAACTATATCGGGTGTGTTCATACCAACGGACTCCAATATTTACTGCTGAGTGTCACTGACAAGTTTACGATCCGTACCTCCCTGTTTTCCCTTTTGTGTCAAAAACAAACCCCGAGGTTAGTTGTTAGGACATTTTCTTTATTTTATTGTTTATATTGTTCTGTGTACTGAGTGGATTTGTGAGCAATTTCCGATTGAATATAGCTCGTTTAAATTGTGCGTTTGACAGACATGTTTTATCGTTTCAGTACTAGTATTCTGTTTTTTTAAGGCAATTTATTTTTCCTTATAAATCTTTAAATTATTCTGACAAATTATCGTAACTTTTGTTTGTATATTCTCGTGCTTAGTAAGATATTTTGGAAGCTTTATACAACAACATTTTGTAATCTATTCATTCAGTTAATTCTCAGAATCCATAATTTATCTGAGAATTTGTTTACAGAAACAACTGATAACAATCTCATCAATAGATCAGCTACTGATCTCTTGGCTCACAATTTGCCCTTCCAAATAAAAGTTAAATTATAAAAGGTCATACATAATTCCTGAGGGCAAAAGTCAACGAGGTGTAGAAACTGAAGCCTTGTTGCTTTTGCTGCATGATTTTTTTGATACATTCTAAATTTAAATTTCTATAATCCCAACAAAAAAGGCTGAATAAATTATTTACTAAATGTGTAATGAAGAGCCCATCCATAAAGTTGTGTTTTCTATCTATTTCTGAGTCAAACATCAAATAGATCCTATTAACAGTTTTGGTGTAATTTAGTAACACATCTGTCTACATAATATTCAGCGTTTATGATAACTAGAGCTAAAATTATACAGAAACTTCAACTGAATGTCAGCAGTCTTACACTTCCGTTAACTGGTAAAAGGTGAGGTTCCTTCTCTACTTTGTAAGAGAGTCCCCTCTCTTACAAAGTAGAGAAGGAACGACTATATACGATAGATGAAACGACTTGATAGCACTATCTCTTTTTTTATCTCAGTGCTTAGCTTTAAGCTCCTTGTTATTTCTCTTGGAGGGGTAGATTGATATCCAGATAAGGTATCACAATTTAAACCGCACAATAACGAGGCGATCATTTTTTTTTTGTATAAATTTGTATATTTCTCTTTTTAGTTTCGTTATCTGCTTATTTGTGTTATGTTAGTCATAATCTAACCCTAAGAGAATTCTAGGCTGTGTAGAAGATTTCTACTTTAGGCGGGTCTTAATGGAAAAGAAGTTTTCTGAAATCACTCACAGAAGAAGGCTAGCATTTCTTCAGACTTAAGTTGATTTGACTATAACATTTACTTATTTATGGCACCAAAAATGATTTCATTATTTTACGGGAGGCAACATTACGGGAGGCAACAAACTCTTCAAATGCATTTTGTTCTGCCTCTCGGGAATTGAATTTTTTACCCACTAAAAAGTAGTGGAAAAGTAATAGTCGGTAGGTGCAAGGTCTGGTGAGTTTAATTTCTTCCTGGGACTTCCCGAGTGTCATAACTCGGTGTGTTCGTGGGTCACTGCTGTGGATCCTGGTGTACAGGAGTTACAGTGGTGGGCGTGTAGGTGGGATTAGTCCCATAGCCTACCGGATAAGCAAGCTGAAGTGTTAGTGGACTAACCATATTAGCCGCAGAACCGAACCGTTGGGGAAAACGAGTTCGTGAGTGGAGAACGCGTCCCGGCAAACGTAGCGTAGGACGCCCACAGGCCAGGTGGAGTGACGATTTGCGCAAGATGGCTGGCAGGAGCTGGATGCGAGAAGCCCAAAATCGATCTAAGTGGCGTGCAATGGAAGAGGCCTATGTCCAGCAGTGGACTGCAATAGGCTGATGATGATGACACGGGTTTATTGTTTAAGGCACTGTAATGTCCCAACAACAAAAATCACAGTTTGTCTATCTTACTGAATAATATTCCAGAATATTGAAAATCTACAATTTTAATATTCAAATTCGCTTTGAACCCAGCATGGGTCAATACTCGTACAATCCTTATCAGTAAACTATTTCCAACTATCGAGTCTGTGAAAGGTCTCTGTTAACAAATACTATTAAAACTTCAAACATGATTTCAACTACTATTTGCTTTCAATATAACATTCTCAAACAAAACTTTCTATTCTAATATGTGCTGAATGCAAATTTTTGCCGTCAGCCCCCTCTAGAAATCTAATAACAGAATTATTGTTTAACCAGGGTTTGGCCTCAATGTAGACTGTTTATTTAGGTATTTGGAAATAACATAACTCACCTTTGTAACATACTAAATGTTCTCGATGATGACGTCACAAGTTATTACTTTATCGTTTATGTTTTTTTTTATACTGAAACACAAAGCTGTCTAACACTACTTAAATTACGTCAATTCTGGAAATCATAGAAATTGTTCCCGACTATTACTATTTAAGTAACATATAATTTCACGGGCCTGTAGATTATTATATATAAATGTACACATCAAAAGCTGTGTTTTTTTATTATTATTTTTTACATTTTATTTTTTCTTAACAAAATTACATTGGTAAACAATCTTTTTTGTTCTCGGCAATATCCACCGGCTGACTTTAAAAATAGAAACCTCACGATTGTGTTTTGTTTTCATTAAAATGAAAGCCAATTTTATGTGTTTTCGTTGCTTGATAAATTTGATATTTATTATTTGACTGCTAATGCAATGCAGAAAGTTGTAGGAATGCTACAAGCGGAAAAAAATCAGTCCCAGGTATCTCGGCATTTTGGTGTCAAAAGGAGCGCGAATATTTGGCACCGTTATCTTAATACAGGGGATCCTAATGAGCAGCACCTAGAACGTAGATAGAGCACAACTGCTCGACAGGACCGATACATACAAATGACTGCATGACGTCAACCACTGTTAAAACTACAATTCTCACGCGGTGTTGTTGTTATCCAACAAAAACGTGAGAAATAGGCTTCATAAATACAGGCTATAAGAACGCCTATACGCCATGGCAACCGCAACGGCCAAAACGAACGATGTGGGGAACATTTGATATGGACCCAGGAGCAATTGAATATAATGTAATTTTGCGATGGATCTGACTTAGGCCTGGTACGAGAAGGGTTAAGGTTAAGAGAGAGAGCTGAAGAAGCTGCTATGTGCCCAGGAATGTGCTTTTTGTAGATGGCAATGTGAACGCTGAAACATACGTTGAAGATGTCCTCGGGGGCCTTATGTTCACCCATTTGCACAAAATCTTGCCTCTGGTATGTATCAGGTATGATGTATGATTATGCGCGGCCAGAGAGTTCTCGGTAATAGAAAACATCTAGCTATTGCCGTGGCCTGCACAATCGCCAGACCTCAATCCCATCGAGCACGTATGGGACATGCTCAAGAGACGTGTTCTAGAGAACCTAGACGGAGTGTCGACATCCCAATAACTGAAAGACTTGTTTAAATTCCATAGGAAGTGATTGCTGCAGGGTCAGATAAACAATCTTATCAATTCATAGAAAAATCGTTAAGACAAGTTTTAAACAACAGAGGCGGTCACACTTTGTATTAAATTACCAAAAAAATTAAGAAAATGAGGATATTTAACTTTGTACGTTTAATTTCGTTTTAACTTTTTTTTATACTACACATGTTACGTTACACTGTTAAATGATAAATGCAATTTATTTCTGCTGCTTCAGTCTGCGAAATACGAATTACAACAAAAAATGAAAAGTCGCTTTTAAACATACGCAAAGGAATCGGTTACAAACAAACAAACATACTGATGAAGCTAATAAAAAGCGTGTAAAAAGAATTATAAGGTCGGTGATCATTCATGAAAACTGTTGACAAATGAAAGAAAACTCGACTAACTCAGATTCATAAAGATCCTTTTTCTCACAGTGAGTTTAATCCTTAGTAGCATCCAACATTATTTTATATGACGTTGAATCATGTTTGTGTTACATTGTAAGAGATAAAACAATATCTGTGAGTCAGTTATCTTTTTCGAAAGTTTCACGAATGTACACACTGCGTTGTATTACATTGTTTGTTTTATTCGTTATACTTTTACAAATATTTGCTTTGAATACGTATTACTTTCTGTGCGATATTGTGAGGAAATATTTTATTATGTCGCAAAACATGCATAATTTTATTCTAGCAGTTCCGCACTCATATGAATGAAAAAATATGGAGAGCACATATTTGGCCCGAATCGACTGGAGTGATACCAAGATACCAAGACCTCACACAAAATCTTTGTGAAACAATTCTTTCCGTGTTTTTTACTTCTTCTACTAAATAACTAAATACACAGAGCGGTTGTCACGTGTTTACTATTTTACTGTTTCAAATTTGCTAGTAGAGAAGAGTAAACATTTATATAATTAATATTGTAATTTATTATTAGAGGAATTGTGCACATTTAATGTAATTAATCAATCATAGTCTGTGTGGTGACGGATTAAGAATACACAGTGTCACCACCCCTATTCATCCCGTGGGTGTCGTAAGAGCTGACTAAGGGCGCAATACGCAGGACAACAGCACTACAGAGAGAAGGAAAACTTGAAACAAAACCTATACCAACCCGTCTGGCAAGCGTGGTATAGGAGGCCAAAACCTCCTTTCTAAGGAGAGGCCTATGTCCAGCAGTGGACTATTATAGGCTGTTGATGTGATGACGTGATGACAAGTTTTTATCACTGTAAAAATAATGCAGTATCAAAAGTTACAGTGTAGTTCAGACCATCCTCGCTAGATGTCGCTACTACATATTTGCCTTATTTAGTGTCAAAATTTTATTTTTAAACTTAATCGAAATAAATTTGACTGAGAATATTAATTTAGTCCTCTATTTATCAATTTTTCCTGTTTATTTTAAGCATGTAATCAACTTTATATCCATGTAGTTTAGCGTCACGATTCAGTTTCATTGTAATGGCTTTTATTTTTGTTAAAACTTCTTTAAATGTCTCGATGGAGAAGGTTTTTGTCTTATCTCGTACAGGTGTCTTGTATCTGTTTTTCTCTCGCAGGGCTTTCTTGATATATTCCGGCATTACTGCAAACAGAGTTCAAGGAATGAGTTAACTATAACAACGGATAGTCAAATCAAATTAAATCAAATATATTTATGTTTTAATAGAATAACACTTTTAGCATTAATTTGTGATTGGAGATTGGAGATTAAGCAAACAATGCTTGTGTTAGGACACCCCGCTCTTCCATAACTGAAGGTAAATTATACTAATATGTGTCTATGAGCTGTGCACGTTATGTGTATGCGCGCGCCTGTGAGTGTGTGTGTGTGTGTGTGTGTGTTGGTGGGTTTGGGTTAGTTAATGTCTGGTAAGTAAATTTCAGTAACTTCATAGGTCAGTGGCTTTAGCCAGGCAAATAGTAGCAGTAGTCTAAATACTTCATTGGTTATTCCCACTATATCAAGTGATACAACAGAGTTGTTTTTAATGGCAAACCATTACCATAGCTTATTGAAACTATAAACACTAATAGTGTTCTGTGTCAGTCCCGAACTCATGCTGCCCTGAATTACTGTTCACCACACATACTACATTGTTTCTTCTTATCTACTGTCGATTTGTCCATCCAAAGTTTGCCTGTAAGAGACTGCTTTTAGCAATAAGGCCGCCCATACTTATCCGTCTGTAATATTCATCTAACACTAGCTGACCCGGCAAACGTTGTGTAGCCATTATTGCTGTATGTATTTTTCAATGCTAAATCATAATAAAATAAAAATAAAATGCCAAAAAAAATAGGTGTTAACCCTTATCATTTAGGGATATGAAAAATAGATATTGGCCGATTCTCAGACCTAACCGATATGCACACAATATTTCATAAAAATCGGTACAGCCGTTTCATTTCGGAGGAGTTTGGTAACAAACGTCGCTACACGAGAATTTTATATAATATTATATATTGTAATTGGTGTACAATAAAGCATATTCTATTCTATATCATGATAAAATGTAATAAACTGTATAGGTACTATATTCAATGATTTTCACTCTTAGTCCTAGTTTTTTTTTGTTATAATTTCAAAAGATTCAACTAACAAAGTTTTTACGTAATAAAAAGAAAAAAAGAATTGATAACCTTGAAATTTGAAGTCATTTACAAATATGGATAAAGTAAAATATGATAAAAAACAAAAGACTTACATAAAATATGAAAAATAACAAACCATTTAGCCTTAATTATCTTATCTTATCCTTCTCATATACCTCTCTCTTATATCTTATTAATTAACTTATCCTTAATTGTCTAATGGAATGAGATTTCTGAACGCACTTATAATTATTTGACAGCCAAAAAATAATAATATGTCGATTTTTGTCACAGTGACACTTTTTTTGTATTTTCAAAATCTAAATATATGTCCAGTAGTGGACTAGTTGTTGCTGCTGATGTTTTTTTTTTTTTCATTTATTTTGGATGATGATGATGATGAAATACGCTATGATCCATATCGTGTGGACGTATGTTTTCGATTTAGAACCCTTATTTAATACGGTATTATCGACGGAACGAACAACAAATTATGTTTAAAAATAAACTTGTTGTATTTTTTTACATTTTCTCACCGTTTCAACTTAGCCTGTACTTCCCAAATATTTTAAGATCAAAATAAGCCAAATCGGTCCAGCGTTTGTAGAGTTTTAGCGAGATTAATGATCAGCAGTTCATTTTTAGTAAATATATATAAAAGAAAATAAGTGCTTAAATCTTAACTGTAATTAATATATTGAAATATAAGGTAAACAGAATTAATTCATAATTATATTTAATTTAATGATTTGGGTTTACCAATAACTTTAATTTATATCAATTTTCACTCGATGTGTAATGATTAAATTTTAATTATTAATTTCTTTTGACAGGTAAAATTAACTGGTATTCATGGTAATTGTGGTGTTGCAGCTGACAAAAATTGTGAATTTCATTTTCAGGACTGGTAGCTTAAGAGACCACAGAAAGATTTCCGACTCCATGAGCAATCTCTGAAGGTGGGGCTAATCATAACTTGCAGAAGCAGTCCTATAATGGTAGCACAAGGTTTTCTGGGGCACCTCTCCGCCCTGGAAGGCCTCTTGTATTCCAAATTATGGCTTGTAGCGGTCAATGGTCTCAAGGCTAGTTCTTCAGGTTAATTACACCCGGATCCTTAACAACAAATCCACTTGCGATAAAGCACAGTGTCCTTATACGGGCATTACCAACAAATGTATATAAGCTATCACTTACTTTTGCATTCGATTGTTTGGAAAAATTATGAAGACTGTATTAGGTTTAGAACTGAAAGGTCTGAATTTTTGTGACTTGAATATAACCGTATGGTTTATTTATTTTTACTATTAATTTTTAATTGGGTTGGTAAATTTTAAAGGCAGTTTGACATTAGATATGCCGCTATCCTAATAAACAATTGTATTGATTAATTAGGTAAATGCTTTGATATATGGAAGAGGATTTCTTTGAGAAACTAATAGTCAATATACTGTTAGGTTATAACTCTATTATAATAATAATATTGAGTACCCATTAAAAATCATATGAACATTATTGAACATTGAATGTTTTGCGGGACTATTGGTCTAGTGGTAAGTGACCCTGACTGCTAAGCCGGAGGTCGTGGGTTCGATTCCCACCCAGGACAAATAATTGTGTGATGAGCACGATGATTTGTTCTGTGCCTGGGTTTAATTTATCTGTAACATGTATGTATTTATAAATATATAAGTATGTTTATCAGGAGTCTGGTTACCATAGCACAGGCTCTGCGTAGTTTGGAATCAGACGGCCGTGTGTGAGATGTGTGAAGTTATTATGATTATTATTATGAAAAACTATGCAGCCTAAACTGAAACTTAAGAAGAAGTTTTATACAACGAAATGAAGTCATTTATTATTATTACTCTCAATCGTTACATATATTTTTTTAAATTTCTAATCATAATTTTTTTAAATATGTGTTAGAAAATATAATTATCTTAACTTAGATAAATAATATAATTTAAATTCCTATAACTTATGCGATGGGCAAAGAACTATTTTATAATTATTATTAAAATAATAAAAAAGGTAAAAATTAGTTATTCTTATTTATTCATGTATGTGAATCATTGTTTGATATTATATGAGTGCTAACATGGATCAAATGATAAGCTACAATTTCGCAAACAATTTTCCAAAACCTAGCGAACCCATAAAATATCGATTGCGCTAAAAAGAAACTTCAGAATTTTATGTATTTGGTTTGTATGTTTGGCAACCCTGTTGATTTACTGCATCGCGAAATATTGTAGAGACAAATAGCGATTGAAACGAAAAAACAATTATCTGACTTGTCATAAACCATAGCCTTGGAAACTATTTTTTTAAAGGCCATTGTCACTGTGACAGTACGAATACATTAGTTTACATCTAACATAGACACTACTCTACTAATTTATAAAACATTTTTTTTTTTTTTTTTTTTAAAGACAACTCCCGCATTAGGAAGACATTCCTGTGTCGCGGGGGACTTTACAAACATACATGAAACGGACACAAAGAACACCCAGACTCAGAACAACAATTTGTGAATCACACAAAGTGTCGTCCCATGTGGGGTTTGAACCCACAACACTCGGCGTAGTAGGAAGCGGCGTGGCTAAATGCTCCCTGTAAGTTCTGTTCCTCACACATTCAAGATTAATGCAAAAAGCAATAATAAACTTACCGCAATCTACTGAATCACAGTGCATCCATATTGCGATTGCAGCTAACACAACATACACACAAAGCAACATTGTTCGCTGTCTCTCAACTAAATTGAGTTTGAGTTACACGTAATTTAGCGTTTCAAAACTTGTGTTTTAGATGTTTTTTGAAAGGTTAAAAAAAGATTTATAGTGTGGTGGAGTGTTGCGCAGATATTCTTTATTGACCACCATTAATAACATAACGTTGAAACAAATAATTTATTATGAACTATTTTTTGCACGCGTCGCCGCCTGCGTCTATGTTACGACGGTAAAAGTAGCTATGTTCTTTGTTAAGAGTTAAACGCTCTAAATTACAGACTTTATCTGAATCGGTTCAGCGGTTTTTGATTCCCCATACAAATTTCAAACCCCTTTTCACCCTCCTAAAGGATGATTTAAGGGATAAGAACTATCCTAGGTCCTTTCCCGGGACTCAAACCATCTCTATACATCATTTCATCTAAATCGGATCAGCGGTTTAAGCGTGAAGAGGTAACAGACAGACAGACAGACACTTTAGCGTAGTACCACTCTGGTCTGGTTAGTCATTTCCTCTTATTTATCTCCGGCCCATATTGCATTTAGTGATAAATTCGATACTTTAATATAGGGTTGCAACATTCTGAGTAAGTGTTTAATTATTTACAATAAGTAAGCGTATTGAAATATCGGATATATACATATCAAGTAGTTCGGCGATTAAACTACAAAAATATCTAGTACCGCAATCCTTGATATACTGTAGAAACTGGTTTCATTTATATCCAGGTTCAAACGCAATAATCTTGATCTTTAGTAAAGAATTTCTGCAGGAACTTGCTGAACAACTGGACTCGTATCTTACAAGGCTTACATATAACAAGTTCTTAGAGCCATCGTCAGGTAGTTTAAAAAATAAAAAATGTACTGATGACGACTTGTTAAACTCCAACGAGTTGACAATCCAAGTAGACTACTAGTAACATCCGTTCAAGTTCAAGGGGTTTAATAACACTAAATACTATATCGGTTAGGCTATACAATGGCTGAGGTTTGTATGCCGTCTGTATGGACGGGCCGACTCAATACTATGGTCCTTTCTTCAAAAGGCCGACCCATACCCTATACTGCACTCACATAGGTCTCTTTAACTTTGTACACGGACTTTGAAAAAAGACCCCTCTGTGGTTTGTTTCGGCGTTTCTTCCCAGAGCGAGTCTTAGGAAATGCCAGTGCCTGTAAAGCCCGACTTGTAAAAATAACTGAATAGATTTACTTGCAGAAATAAATATCTTTTCATTTCATTTCACTAGTATTTTCAGTATTACATTTTATTGGGCGGGAGGACTCCCAAGAACCCGCACCATTGCAACGCAAATCCGTTTATTTGCTAATTTATTTATTTATTTGCTTCACACTTTTTTTATGTATATGAGACTAATCCCTCCCTCACGGCCACCATTGTAACTCCTGTACACGAGGATGGACAGCAGTGACCCACGAACACACCGAATTATGACACTCGGGCAGTCCCTAAAAAAAATAAACTGTCTTCAAACGAGCAACGAAATAATCAGAAGAAATGTGGAGGAGTTGGAAATATTATGCAATAAGATATTTTTTGTTATGGTATAGAAGTCAAACGGGCAAATTGGTCATGTAAGTGAACGACAATGCTCACGGACACCTGCAATAGGAGGCACACACTCCCCTCTCGCCAGTCCATGGTCCATGAAGCATGGTGGACTTAATTCCTACGGCATTTTCTTCCATCCAACCTTTAGACGATCTAGATACGTACTTTGCATATGTATAATTAAAGTTATGAATTCAGACACAGAGTCTGCAAATCTATACATAAATATTAAAAACATTTAACTGCCAGCCACTGGTGGTCCAGTGGTACTCGGTGGACCAAATGTTTGTATGATCTGCAAATATTTGTTGTTTTTCTGTGTATGTATATGTATGTCGACGTATGTATTGACGACCGAATGGCGTAGTGGTTTGTGTAACGAACTGCTATTCCAAAGATGGCTGGTTCGATTCCCGCTCAAGTCAAACATTTGTGTGCATGAATATTTAATGTTTGATTCGGTCTGGGTGTTTCTTTGATTAATAAGTATGTATTTACAAAAACGTATATGTGTATGTATTTATATCAGTTGTCTAGTACCCATAGTACAAGCTCTGCTTAGTTTAGGACCAGATGGCGTTGTGTGAATGTGGTACAATATTATATTATATTATTATTATATTATGTATTAAAAAAAAAAACAATCTAGTTCAAGCCAAAAAGTATCAGCCAATCTAGTTTAATCACTTAAATCATTCAGGATCACAAATGTATAGTATCCACAAAAATCCGGGTATATTCTCAACTTAACGGTATGTTTGTGATCAACTTCTTTTGTTTTCCAAAATGTACTTTGTTTTGGTAACAAGTACAGAGTGGAAACATGTGAGTGAGTTCCGGCAACGGGACGGCAATATATGGCTTGGTGTTTTCATTGTGCCCGTTGAAATCGTATTTTTTGTTCACTATCGATCAATATGCATCTCTATGGGGCTTAAGTTACGATCGGCTTTAAAATATATGACAATGGCTTACTAGCTTTATTTCATTGTATTTAATCGGCTATTGTCCTACCTCACGGGATTATTTCTTATTTCGTGTTTCTAACTTTGAAAAAGACCTACTGCCATAGAATTGTTCATCATTTATTTTACCTCCTTAGAGGTCCAATTGCCAACAATCCTTTCTTATTGGCTGCTGACAATATAAAAATCATCAGCTGACAAAATTTCAAGTTTTAGCTCTGGCGGGTTAGGCTCTGCATGGATGAATGACTCAGTCAGAGCCAGTCATTTTATATGTAGATATAATATTTCGTATATTTTACTCTTGTTCAGATTTTGAAGTACGAGTATGTTTGATGCTAAGTTTTTGTAACTAGGAGCTGGATCGCGAAAAAAAAAATTGCTTTTTAAATCCGTAAATCCGTTTATTATTCTTCAAAGGTGAGACTGGCCCACAATTTTAAGCCGCACGTGTCATACGTGCCCTATTAGTGTGATAGAGTAGATTTTTTTCTAAAGTATACTGCCTTGTTACAAAATATGGACTAAGAACAGAGTTGAATATAATTCTTTTATTCTTTCAAGGCTACTAACTTGTCTGTCCGAGAGCGAGAAATATGATATTTGAACATAAATGTATAATTTGTGTAGTGAATGATTCTTTTTGAGCACATCCATAACAGTTTCTTATACGAATATATAATTTATTTAAAAAAAGGCTCGAACTGTTCTTTTTTTATGCACAAGTATCTGTTATACCAAGCCTTCCTTGAAACCTTTTTCGCGATTATTAGATCACTAACAATGCAACTATTCACTGAGGTTCCAAAAATCCCGGGACGTTTTTTGTCCGGAATGACGTTATCCAAAACACGGGACAGCACTACAGCACCTACGAACTTCTTGCTCACCAAACGTTTGTTTTCAGCTGTTTGTGAAATCGGATCTGCACAAGTCTTTGAGTTTGCTAACTTGAATGTTTCTAAGCATTTGAATTTTACTTTTGTCCTTTGTGTTTTGGTTCGAAAGACAATAAATATGTCTTCATTTAAAGAAAAAATAATAGACAACTAACGTAGATATTGGTGCTAATTCTGTTGTTTGAAAAATCTTTAAACTAATAATCGTTAAAAAAAAATTGTCCTGTCAAATATTACGTTTTCAGAATAGGAAACGTTGTTTGGAAGGACTAAACAAATTTTAAGTGATTTTTAGTTTAGTTTAAAGAGTTTTCGAACATCAGAATTAGCACCAAACTCAAACTCAAACTCAAACTTTCTTTATTTCATAAAATTTCCAAAATTGTTTGAAATCGTCTCCCATGTAGACTCTAAAGTCATAGATCAACACACACAAAAGCAACAATCTCTGTTTTGTCAAATAGTAACCAAATAAATCAAACAAAAATCAAACCCATACAAAATCTATGACATGCCTGTGCCGATCTACAACCGCCCGTTTCCAAGGGGTTCAGCCTTATGAGAAGAAAGAGCAAACAAACTCATGGCCACTCTTTTGCAATTCACAGGTAGATACAATGGCACTATTAAATATACCACAACTTTGTTTTGATGGTGCTAACACCAATGCTAGCACCAATGGTGCTAATTCTGTCGTTCGAATTCTCTTGCATGATGCTTTATACAAGTTATTATATCTCTTGTCTAGGGACTGTTTCTGCTACACTCATTGTATAAATATTCTTCAAGACTATTATCCATATTTATTAATGATTACAACACCAGTCGCGTTTCGTTTTGTATCTAGTTGGAAGAGTTTTAGTGAAAACTAGCAAATACCAACCGAATTATGAAGTAACTATGAATATTGCACTACACTAACAAAATTCTCGAGCCGATTAGGATTTTTTACAATTTCTCAACAGTAGCTTTTGAGGCCACGAAACGACAGGCATAAACAAACAACCTGGTCAGAAAATCTCTTCTCTGGTTTTGCAGTCTTAGCTCTACATTGTGAGATTCTACCCGTCCTACATTGGAAATATTATATTTTTTTATATTTACATTTAGATATGTCATGTCACACAATTGCAAAAAAAACATTTTAAACAGTTTTTATAAATAATGTTGAGTATTAAGTACCAAAATAGCTTGTAAGTCCCTCGCGTGAATTCGCTTTATCATATGTTTGTTTACTTTGGCAGAATCGGTATATCACGCAGTAAATTATAAGCGGCAATCCGACATTGTGTCTTTGTACATGTAAAAATAAACTCTATTTGCATGTGTGTTGTGGCTTGAAAAATTATTACAAATACTTACACATATGAATAGATTTCCTACATAAACATGAAGTAATCATTAAACAAAGTTGAAATAAACAAGAAAACTAATAGAGCTGCGTTCATTCATATACAACACAAATACAATACCAAAACTTATTGGTTTTCTTCACCTTTTTTTTCCTGTGCCGAAATACCCTCGGATACCAACCACCGGTGGTTAAGTCGGACTCGAACCGACTAA